ATTGGAGAATGATGTCTGAATCAAAGTTGTAGCCAGATGAGTTAGCTTTCCAACGCATTTTGAATCGCCTCAATCGGATATCAGAATACAAAGTTATAATAAAAACACTGAAAAAATGTGCAGCTGCCTGTTTAAAACAAAAAATTCTGTTACATAGTCCGTTAAAACAACAAATTCCGTTAGTTTTTTCGTTAAAAACAAAAAATTCCGTTACATAGCCACTTTTAATATATATATATATATTGAGTTATGACGTGCTTCCATTTCATACAGGACAATCTAATTTAACGAACTGTGACGATCGGAAAAAAAAAAGCTATAGAGAAATCTCCGAAATAAATAATCTCGATTCCCACCGCCAAAATCTGATTCATTGAAATTTGTGGATTTTTGAGGTCACAAATTGATAATTATCGACACTGTGGAGCATATTTTTTTTAAGACAATGACCACAAATTGGGGTGATAATAAAAGTAGCAAATTGAGCTTAGTGATCATCCTGAAATGGGTTTGAACTGTTTCGCAGTCACGATTGATGACGAATAATATTATATTGTTGTGGGATCTTCATCTTTTTCAATTGACGAAACAGTCTTGAAGCTTCAATCGTAAGTTGCTGTAATGGAAACTGAAAATATGAATTGGGCTGTAAAGTGTTATATTAAAAAGATTCATTAGCATGTAAATTGTAAGTTTTAGTGATGGGAATTGAAAAGATCCATTATTACCTGTGATATTGATCAAGTGGACTACGTTATGTAACATGTTGATGTGGATATGTGAACTATGCACTATGACATGTAAAATGTTACCGGCAATATTGATCATATGACTTGTTATCAGTTCATTTGGATTTGTGACATACCTGTGCACTATGATATGTGACTTGTGAATTGTTACATGTGATATTCATTCAATGGTCAGTGATCAGTTCTATTAGATATGTGACCTGTGGACATTGATACATTATCTATGCAACGTGATATGTCACCTGCGACTCGTGACATGCGAATTGTGACTTGTGAACTTGAATTCGTGACTTGTTACCACGGCACAAGGATGTGGACGTCTAATTTGTGACATATACAATATGACATATGACCTATAACCCGTGAATATAAATCAATGATCTGTGACCAGTTCTATTTAATCTGTAACTTATGGATATTTATCAATGATCTATGCACGATGACTTATGACCCGTGACATGTAACAAGTGAACGTTGAACTTTAACGATTGAACTATGACTCGTAATAAGGGACTTGTGACTCGTGCAAATGAACATGTGACCAATAATAATTAACAGTACATTCTATGAACATGTGATCATTTCAAAACCACCACTAGCACCAGCAGCAGCACCACCACCACCACGGCACCACCATCTTGTAAATCCATGATAAAACACCAATTCCCTCCACTGTGAAGCCTCCGGAAGTTAGAAAACAAAAACCCAACACGAAAATTATTGTTACCAAAGGCACCAAAATTGAGTTGAACAGTCACGACAAAGGAATGGCCAAAGTGAGAAATTATCATAGTTACGACAAGGGTGAGTCCTAAAAGAACCAGAAGGATCCGCTGACAGCGAAGGTGGGCCGTCGTGGCCTTCGCCACCCATAGTGTCCTCGCCGCTGTGTAGCATCTCTACAAGCAATTGCGGTGAAGTGTGATGCTACAACAGGTGCAACGACATGTGAGCATTGCTCCGGTGTTTTTTCGGTGTCTCTCACAGTAGAGCTCATGTGTGATAAAGAGATAGAGACGAGAAGGAAGATGATAAATATAGAGAATATGGAGGAAAATGATTTAGGGTTCGAGAGTGAAATTGGATAGGGTGGATGGGGTGGGGGTGAGTATGTAAATTAATTTAATTTCACAATATTATTATTAATATTAAAAAGTTGAATTATCACATTATTTTTGAATAAAGAATTTTTAAGTATGATATTGAAAAGTTGAAAAGCATGTGTAATTTTCACCTTAACAATTATTATTTTCTCCATTTGTATTTTACATTAGTTTTAAAAATACCCATTTTCACCTTTGATTTTTTGATAGTTGATACTTACGAACAATGACAAAAAGACATTTCAAAATAATGAAACTATCTACAAAACTATCTACATATGATTTTTTAA